ACCAAAGTTAGCACGCAACCAACGGGAATACTGGAACTTTGCTGTGGACTGCCAACGTCGATTCAACGAGCTTGGACACAATGCTAACAACTCTTCACATGTTGAACGTCGCAAAAAAGCTGATAAACCGCAATCCACAAGCTACCCGTTTACAAACCCAATACTTGAGTTTTGGCAAGGCACTCGGGCAACGAAAAGCTCGGGTCGAAAGGTAAGCGAACGAAAAATTGCACGCCATGAATATATTCCCGTTCACTCCCTGACTTTGACATCAATCGAACCGCATTCTTCTTTGTCCTCGCGTTTTGGCCACCAGACCCGTGGGAAGGCTGCCTTGATGTTTTCCTTTTCATCGCCACCCATCAAACACCCTCGCAGCCCCAACAGATCGCAGCAGCACCAATCCGGGCCGGGGTGTACCAATAGCGGATCAGTGAACTACAATACATTTTTGATAGGGCACTTCTAAATGTAGAACTGACCCATTAACCACGTGCCACACGACGATGGCTCCACCGCCAAGCGCAAAACCGGCGCTTCCGTAGCAGCGTCGAACGAGACAATTATCATGGGCTTCCTTTAACCGAATTTGTATCGGGTGTAACCGCAACATTGTCGATAAATGTCTGTACAAATGGCGGGGCTAGTGACCATTATGAATCGTACTTGCAAGTACGACAGTCGCGGGCGTACTCCCGCCCGCTTTGCCCCTCGGTATGTCACTCCATCTCATGTTGTCCCTCGCATTTCGTTTTGATCGCATCGCCCCAACTCGGCTCTAGACACAAATCCCTGTAACCTTGCCCCTGTTGTAACCTCATGCTTGGTAGACCATTGTAGAATACCTTGTGTAACTTTTACCTCCATGCATAGCGCGCACAAGCTGGCGACACTAAGGGCGAAATACATCGGCATGCTACATTCACTTATGCGCCAGGTGCGTGAAAGACAATACAGCCGAAGCCTGACTGGCCGTTCAAACTATGGCAAAGTTCGTGAAGATAACTTTGCGAACGTGAGCCATGTATCTAGGCCATACGTAGTGAGGTCACCGGTAGTGAAGCCTTCACCAAATAACGAGCTGTACGAGACCACCAATGCGGCCATAATCCTATTGCGACTCCTTGCGATACGCACGCTGCACATTGACCATGCCCTGCTGCGCGTGTCGAGAGCAGTACTCCGGTTTCTTGCTGTCGACCTTGCCATATGACGGCCCCTTTGTGCACCCTGGATGACCGCACCTCTTGCTTACAACATCAACCATGCCCTGATGCGCGTGCTGGGAGCAGAACTTTGCCTTCTTGATACCGTCTTCGCCAAATGAAGGCCCCTTTGTGCACCCTGGATGGCCACACCTCTTCTTGGAGACGTTTGTCATCCTTTGTTCGCTGTGCTGGGAGCAGAACTCCGCCTTTTTGCTGCCGTCTTTGCAAAAAGGACGCCTGCGTTGCGCACCCTGGATGGCCGCACTTCTTAACTATACAGGTTGACCATATCCTGCTGCGCGTGCTGGGAGCAGAACTCCGGCTTCTTGCTGCCGGCTCTACCGTATGACGGTTGTTGGACGCACCCGGCATGGCCGCATTTCTTACCTAACACATGGATCATCCTTGGCTTGGCGTGCTGGGCGCAGAACTCCGGCTTCTTGCTGCCGACTGTACCATATGACGGTTTCTTCGCGCAACCTGCATGATCGCACCTCTTACTACGAACATCGACCATGTCCTGCTGGGCGTGCTGAGAGCAACACTCCGGTTTCTTGCT